ACAGCCTCTCCTTTGCCCATGCCTGCAAACATGCCTCTCTTTGCTTTGGCTCTTGTCTTGGCCTCTGTCTTGCTTGGGCAAGTGTTACAAAGCTCTTTTAGCTCTGTCAATAGGTGCACCCCACTCTACCAGCAAACCTTCTGCCCCAAAGTATTCAGCTTTCTTGCTCTGTGGCCTGGGAAGGCTGCCACTCTGTTTCGTGCCAGTCTCTTGGTTCTACTTCCTCTGCTGCTGCCATCTCTCTGCCATCTCAGCACAGGAATCGTGGGTCCAAGGATGTACTCTACTCCTGCTGCTTCTCTCTTGATGACAGTGAGAGCCCCCTTTTCCACCTCTGGGATTGCTTATTTTAAGGCTAGTGAGATGGCAAAACTGACCAATCTTCATATCAGGGTTCCATATACCTTATTTGCACAGTCCCGCCCTCACAAGCAAGCCGTGTCCATTACTTAACTATTAGCAAGTTATCCAGTCCTCTCGGTGGGCCACAAGCATCTTACTTTTGCATAGTTCTACTCAGTCATCTGGTGAGAGTTACAAAGATTGTGGCTAGACAGACATGTTAAGTAATTCACTGCACCACAATGACCTAATGAGTAGATAACCATATAAACATGGTTTCACTCCACTGTGCTAAGAGCTAAAATAAAAAGCACATTCTCATCTGTGGTTGCAGAATGGAATTTTTAAAATTCAATGATTTTGTAGACTATGTGCTGTGTAGTATATAGTCCATTTGAATAATCTCAATCCTGGATTATTGATGCTGTTGTTGTTAGGTGCTGTTGAGTTGGTTTCAAATCTTAGCAACCCTATGTACAACAGAATGAGACACTGTCCAGCCCTGTAACATCCTCACAGTTGTTGCTATCTTTGAGCCCATTGTTGTAGCCACTGTGTCAGTTATTGACATTAGAGTTACCAAATTATCATATTGGTCATAAAGATACTCTGTGGAAACTACAAGGGTGAAAACAGTTTTGTTCCTCTGGATAATATCAGTAAGTAGAAAACAGTGCCACAAAGACCAGACTAACTTTTCACAATCTTATCTTTGAAGTCATGAAGTGGTGATAAGCAGAAGTTTTATCCACTTTGCTATATTTGGAACCTTGCAAGACATTACTGCAGCATCTGAATTATGAGTCAGGAATAAATATCAGCCATATTTAGCCTAAAATAAAGAGACCAAATAATCAATAATGGGGTCTTATTGCTGTATCATCTGCTGGTATTTACATCACTAGTGCCTAGTGTCATCAGTGGAAATGAAGAATAAGCTGTAAATATGATGGGAATATAATTTTGGAAGGACTTCCAGCTTTGTGTTCTTTATTAGAAAAATCAAAAGCTAGGAATGGATTGGTTTCAAACGCGGACTCTTCCATTTACTGAGTATGTGAAATAAACAGGCAACAATTGCAATTGCTCTGAGTCTCCCTTTTATTCCCTGTTAACATGAGAGAGATGATATCACTCATAGCATCACTGTGGGAATTAAATAAAACCATGTACTAGTGCAGGATTGTTGCTTAAGACTTTAGTTCTCTTTCTTGAAACAATGTATATACTGGAGAGCAAGAATTAACTTGGAATTGTTTTGATCTAATTCAATTTGAGCGTGGGGCATTACTTAGCCCACAAAGCAAGCTTCTAAAGTTAAAAAAAAAATAATACATATATGTCAGTCTTCCACAAACTGTTTCTTAGCAAAATAGTAAAAGTAATATGCATTCAGTGTTCTAAATTCTGCTGCCTTAGACTGACAAAGGAAGTAGGGGGAGGTGGAAGAATTGGTGGGGGTGCCAACTACCCCAGAATTCCTTACTGGTAAGAGAAGCAATTTAGTAATCTGTTATAGCAGTTTCTTAAATCATTCCTCATGGACATGTAGGAACTATTCTGGCTTCAGGACCCATTGGTTTTTCAGATGATTTCTATGTTTTTCTCTTGTGGTGGTGGAATTTTGCACTTCCAAAGGTATTGCATGAAATTGAGTTGACAACTGACCCATTCTGGCATACTTGCACATTGAATGTCATGAAAGTGCATCGTGTTTTTCTTTTTCCCCGCTTGCTCTGCTCTTTTTGGTGAGAGCACCCACACATGCCAGTCTCTGTTGTTGCAATGCGTGATGAGCCTCACATTGAAAAGAAGAGTCTTGGGATAGTTATCATTTCTAAACTATCTGAGCTACAGCCCCTGAGAACTGTCATTTCAGAGTGTTCACAGAGATCACAAGGGGTTTGAAATTGCTTGGAAGATTTATGAATCTGAGGCACAGTGACTGTTTTGCTGAATTTTATTGCAAGTGTCTTTGCATGTTTACATCACTTTTCTAAAATGGTTAAGACAAGTCTCATAAAATTAGATTATGGACTTAATTGACACTCATCAACTCAGAATATTGGACTAGGATTTGGGAGCCTTGGAGCCAATTCCCAGTTCTTCCATTAACTTGAAGTTACTTTAGGCTTATGGCTTAATTTCTGTATTATTAACCATTTGTAAAATGAGATTATTTATCAATGGGTACTTTTTCCCCAAACTGTTCACAATTCTTAAAGGCTGTTTTCACTTAAATATTTTCTTCTTGTGCCTTAAAAAGATGTATTACAGGGTTAATAAAATGGTTTCTAGGGAAAATTGTGTCTCCAGAAGGAATGCGTGGGATGACACCCCAGGACTGGGCCCTGGGCCTGTCCTCAAAGGCAGGGAACATACCTGGAGCTGATGTGGCTGCCTGCAGGGGATAATGATTAGGCCACAGGGGTCAGTCTTCAGGGGTTCACGTAAGAGCTCTCCCACCGTGTGACTTTGAACAAGTTATATAACCTCTGTGAGCCCTAGTTCACAATCTTGTAAAATGAAGTGATAGGAATAGTAATAGCAATATTTCAGAGGGATATTGTGAAAGTAATGAAATCATGATGCATGCAGATACCAGAACAAAGCCTGCCCTTGAAAGTGTAGATTTTGCAAGGGTTCAGTGAAAAAACACCCCTCTTCCTTTTTGGAGCTCTAAATAAATTGAGAGAGAAGAAAGAGAAAAAAAATTGGCAGGCTGTGGTCAAATTATTTCCTTTATTATTGTTATTTTTCAATCTAAGATTTAATCACCTTTAATCACAAAAGAGATGTACCTTAGTCTGAGAGTGAAATGGGCTTATCAGAACTGAATCACAGAATTAGACTTAAATCACTCAGTCACAAAGCCTGGTGGGCTTGGGCAGGCCTCCCTCGGTGTTCTTCATGGGCAGGTTGGCTCTCGAGGAGGAATGAGGGAGGAGCTGAGGAGATTATGCTCAGTTTATTCTTCCCAAAATGGTGCAACAGGTGAGTCAGCCCACATGCCCTAGAATGGTGAGAGTAAGGGGGCAGGGAGACGCCAGGGGGTTACACCAAATGAGTTTCTTTGATACGAAAGAATCATTTCCCCTAATAGCCTTCAACGAGGGATACCTATTTATTATTGTGAAGTTGCAGTCCAGTGGTCTAGATGCAGCATCCAAGGGTGCAGAAATTGTGCTTTTTAAGCCAATGGTTCTTTTCTTTTGCTGCACCTTGAAATCCCTTATGGTGTTTTATAAAAAAAGCAAAAAACATTTATTTGCTCTGGGTCCCCTCCAGAGCTCCTGAGGAAGACTTTGGAGGTGGGGCCTGGACATGTGCATTTTAAGAAAGTTTCTTCATAATGTGAAAAAAACAAACAAAAAATGGTGGCACATGAAAAATATTATCAATGTCCCTGAGTTATGAATGTGGAAATTGTTATGTTGGTAAATGTCTTAATGTATATGTTTTCACCACAATGAAATGATAATAATAAAATGAATGAAAGAAAACTTCTTTGGTTCTTTCAGCGTAAATCTAGGTGAGGACCAGCTGCTGTAGATGTCCTACGTATTTTGTAGTTTCCTACCGTGCCTCTGTGCCTTTGCATATGCTGTTCCCACTGTCTGAATTGAGCGTCCTCGTCTTCTTCACCTGGGCAGAAATTGTACTCATCCTGTAACACTGAACTTGGACGTGTGCTTCTCTGAGATCTTCCCTGTTCCTTCCCCTTTCTTCCTCACTTCCTGCAAACAGTGATTCCTTCTGGCTGCAACTGCTGTACCATAGACTGACTCAGCTATTTCATAAAATGTATTCTGTGTTGAAATTATTTGATAACCAGATGTGAACATTTCTGCAACAGTTCATATACATACATATGCTTGTAAGAGTACAGAAAAAGATCTGAAAGTATAGCCACCAAATTATTATGTGATCATAACTGTGAGGGGAGAGATTTAGGTAGAGGAGGATATTTAAATATTGTTTTGCTAATAAGCACTCAGTCTGCTTTTAAATTATTTTAATTTATAAATGACTGTGTTTTATAAGATAAAAATAATATAAAAGAGGAAATGCAATGTGTTGATTTTATGGTCTGCATTTCCTCCTGTGAGGACATCTACATGTCATCTCAGTCATAATCCCAGTTTTGGACAGGATGCTGCACTCTCGCATTCCTTCCTCTTTCTCTACTCTTTTATTCTCCTTTTTTCTTAAATCTTCAAAAGAGCAAATATATGGTTAGATGATGAGGAAAGGATGGTTCAACTTCTGTCAATTTCAGATTGTCCTTGTGCCATAAATAGGAAGAAAAACTGAAAACCAAAACTATTTCTGTCCACTCCGATTTATGGTGACCCTGGGTGATGCAAACTGTATAGATTACTAATCAAAAGGTTGGTGGTTCATATCCAAGTGCCGCCATGGAAGATAGGTCTAGTGATCTGTTTCAGTAAAGATTATAGGCAAGAAAACCCACTGAAGCTTAGTTTTCTTTGTAACACATGGGGTGGCCATGATAACTAGGAACAAGTATTATTTCTGAATACCTCTTTAGTGAGCTGTTATAAAGTTGAACATAGGAAGAGAGAAACTTGTATTTTTGCTCTAACCGTATGTTTCTTTTCTTATACAGATAAACTACAAAATTGAAGTTTTGAAGGATGGATAAAGACTTTCGGTATTATTTCCAGCATCCCTGGTCTCGCCTAATTGTGGCTTATTTGGTGATTTTCTTTAACTTCTTAATATTTGCGGAGGACCCAGTTTCTCACAGCCAAACAGAAGCCAATGTTCTTGTTGTTGGAAACTGTTTTTCATTTGTCACAAATAAATACCCTAGAGGAGTTGGCTGGAGGCTTTTGAAGGTGCTTCTATGGCTACTTGCCATTCTCTTAGGACTAATAGCTGGCAAATTTCTGTTCCATCGGAGTTTGTTTGGTAAGTACCATAACTCATGAAATGTAACGTTGCTAATTACTTCTTTTCTCCAAAATAAAGTGTTGTTATTTAGCCTGCCTTAATTTGTTATTCACTGTTGTAACTAGGTTCTTCAACTAGTCTCTGTTTAATGGTGTACATTTCCTACTACTTAAGGAAAATTAGTTTGAGGTAAAATTAGTACCAAACAATTTAAAAATTTGACTTTAGCACTGAAATGAATGTGTGTGTAATCTTGTTTAGAGAAGACAATAAAATAGCTCTTTTCCCATAAGTAGTACTTATGTATAGTATAGTAAAAAGCTTGTAAATTGTAAAGATGAAATCTCCATGGTACACCACTTTTTCATTAAATAATGCTAATAACCATTGCCCACATACTTACATGTATTATTCATTCAGAGGGTTAAAAATGGAACTGTAACTTTTATCCTCATTTTACTTTTTATTTATGAACATTGGCTTTAGAATATTTATTTTTATACTATTCAACCACAGAAGAGCCTATTAGACAGAAATCTCTTGGTAGTAATCAACAGAAATCAAGACCACATTAGCTTGACTTAAAAAGGTAATTTACTATAGTAAAATCTGTGAGAGCCAGAACTGGATGTTATTGCTTTGTTTTTCCAGGTCTTGTAAATTTTCTGCCTTTGACCTTACCACTTTCTTTCACTCTCAGTTATTGTTGTTGTTATGTGCCATCGAGTCGGACCTGACTCATAGCGACCTCTTCTTAGGTTTCCGAGGCAGTATCACTACGGAAGTAGATTGCCCCATCTTCCTTCCGAGGAGTGGGTGATGGGTTAGTGGAAAATATTTGAGTTTCCTTCTCTGACAGATTTCTGCTTTACACAGGTGTGACTTTTGTAGGTTTTATTGTATAAGGATATTGGGATATTTCACAGACACCAAGGATAGGATTAATTCAGGGCATGAGATAACTTGAAACAGAGGCTTGAATTCCATGAGGATGCTCTTGGTCTTGACTATTCTGTGCATATCTGCTTCATTTTCCTTTCACACTGAAGATAAGTTTACATCTACTCAGAAAGACTGGCTTGACTCTCTTGATCTCAGGTTTAAATTCCCAGGGAAGGGAATGAAGTTGACCCAAGTTGCATGTGACTCCCAACCCTAGCCTAGTAGATTTTGACCAGGAGATGAGTGCCATTCATTCCACAAATATTCACTGATCATTTATTACATGGGTAACATTATGTCAGACAATGAATTGAACCGACAAGGTCTCTGCTCTTGTAAAAACATATATCCTACAGGAAGGGAAAGACACTAAACACTTAAATATGTATTATATGAGTAGATGGTAAGTGTTAGGGGAAAAAGTAAATAGTTTTAAATTCTACAGCTGAGCCAATTAGGAAGAGAAATTAATGATAGAGCTTTGGATTTAGCAATTATAAGATCACAAGTAATTTAGTGAGGTTATTTTTAATATAGAGATTGCGTTAGAAACAAATGGTTTAAAGAATAAACAGATATTCATATAATATTGTAATACATATGAATTATTACTGTTATATTGTATATACAAATTATTTACAAATACTTAATTTGTAATATATTTTTATGTTATATTCGATATAATATAAAATTGAATACTATATTATAAATAGGAGCTCTGGTACGTAGTGCCTAAGGCACTTGATTGCTAACCAGAAGGCTGGCGGTTCAAACCCACCAGCCACTCCTCAGAAGGAAGGTTGAGCAATCTACTTCTGTAGTGATACTGCCTTGGAAACCCAAGGAGGGGTCACTATGAGTCAGGTCCCACTCGACAGCACACAACAACAATAGCAACAACATATTATACACAGAGTATTACATAAAAAATCCAAACCCAACCCACTGTTGCTGAGTCAATTCTGACTCATTGGACAGAGTAAAACCACACTGTAGGGTTTCCAAGGCTGTAAATCATGGAAGCAGACCAACACATTTTTCTCTCAGGGAGCAAGCAGCCCATGGGTTTGAACTGCTGACATTAGTAGCTTAACACTTTAACCACTGAACCACTTGCATGCATAGTATGAGAGATGCATCCTTCTCAATCTCTAATATTCCTCAAACTATTGTCGTTTGTTCCTTTAAAAAAAAAAAAAAAACTCACTGCTGTCGAGTCGACTCCAGCTCATAGTGACCCCTCCTTGGGTTTCCTAGGTGGTATCTCTGTGGACGTAGATAGCCTAGTCTTCCTTCTGAGGAGTGGCTGGTGGGTTTGAACCACCACCTTTCTGGTTAGCAGTCATATGCCTTAGGCATTATGCCACCAGAGCACTTAAATATATAAAATACACTTATTTTATGTAATCATTTATGTATACGTATGCATGCTGTTAGGTACTGTTGAGTCTGACTGATAGCAGCTCCATGTACAACAGAATGAAACACTGCCTGGTCCTGCACCATCCTTACAATCATTGCTGTGTTTGAGCCCATACATGCATAATATACACATATATGTGTACATGCACATAGTTTAAGAAGTTTAGTGGGAAATAGAAGAAATGAAACAGTAGCTTAAAAATGGAAGAAGGACCCAGGGAAGATTTTCTTGAATGGTGGTGGTGGTTTTATTTACACACACACACACTCTTTCTATCTCTGTGTGTGAGAGAGAGAGAGAAAGAGAGGGAGAGAGAGAGAGATTAATTAACTGACATGCTTATAATTGTAGGGGAAGGACCTAGATTGAAGTACAGATAAATTGAAGATATAAAAACCCCCAGCATCTTTGAAGGTTTCTGTGGAAATGGTGGCCTCTGAGGAGAAGAGAACTGGTTCCTCAGAAATAGGCATGAGTGAGATAAAGATTAGTGCTCTGATTGGTGTTTGAGGTGGAGGGACAGGAAGGTGAATGTACTCCTACCTGATGACTTCTGTTTCACTGTGATGAAGGAAGAGCTAAAGATAAAAATGGAAGGGTTGGATGGGACAAAGGTTTAAGGAAGTGATCAAGGTTTGGAGAAGCTACCTTAGGGAAGGTCAAAGGGAACTGATTAGGGACAAATAAAAGGTTTGCTACTTATCACTGAGAGCCTTTGAGGTTAGCAACTATAAATTTGATTGACATCATTGTTGAGCAATTTTCTCTGAGAACCCAGTCACCTGGAGCAGAATTTGAGAGTGAGTCATCTAAGAGGGAACTGCTCAGACTTACTGTATTGGAAAAAAAAAAAACAACCCAAAAAGGATGAAAAACAATGGAGGGTTCTAATAAAAGCATTATTAATATAATTAACCAGGAGTTCTGGCTAGACATGGAAAGGATGGTGAAGAAGATAATGGTGTGGGAGGAGTGAGCAAGGACCTGAAGATTTGGATGAAACTGAACAGGTGAAATGAGAGTAAGAAAAAAGGGAAAAGGTTGGTGGCTGTGGTCAAATGCCAGGTTGTAAATTATGTGCAGCCATTCTTTAGGGTGATTTTAACTAGGATGTGAATTTTAGAGATGAAAAAACTCATTGGCATCATGTGGATTCTGATTCATGGTGACCTTATAGGGCAGAGTAGAACTGCCCATAGGGTTTCCAAAGCTGTAAATCTTTCTAGAAGCAGACTGCCACATCTTTCTCCCATGGAGCGGCTGGTGGGTCTGAACCACTGACTTTTTGGTTAGCAACTGAGGACTTTAATGACTGTGCCATCAGGGCTTCATGCACTTTAGAGTGGGAGCTAAACCAGAATGGAGAGACAAATCTTTGACACAGAAGATATCTAGGAATTGGTGATTAGTTGAGTCATTCACTAAACATTGAACAAACAAGGTGTCTTGCATAGTAATTGTATAGACAGAAGAGTTTAAAGGTGAGAGTGAGTGGGTCAGTTTCCCAAAATGGATGGAGGATGCTGGGCAGAAAAATAGGTATCCATTACAAGCTGTGGTTGGATATGTTTTTAATCCTTTTAGGAAATTTGTTCAGTGTAGAAAGCTAAGGCAAACTTAGATTAAAGTAATTACTTTTGAGAAAAGGTAATCTGTTTATATTAAAGATATATTTGAAGTATCTTTAATATAATGGTATTGGAATTGATAACAAAGGTTTTTTGGTTTTGTAATTGCTACATTTTGTTAAATTATTCTATTGTAGACTCTTATCTATTATGTAAAATCCCATTTCAGTCATTGCTTCCATTTTAATTCTTCTCTTGGTATAGCTAATTCAGCCCTAAAAAATCAACTTAGATGTCAAGTGGTTTATTGAATACAAATTATTCTCAAACAATATAGGTCTGTCCTATTGTTTTATTTTTAAACTTAAAATAGGGAAGATATTGTATTTATCACTCTGCTTGGAAACTTCCCTCCTTTTTTTATTACTAAGATACATGAAATTATATGGGGGTTTTAGAGAAGGAATGATAACCCCCTGCAAATCTAGGTGAGTAAGAGAAGTGGACTCCTGATTGAGTTTCCTGATTAACTCCAAACTTACCTTTTCCTTTTTTCTTCTTTCATTTTCTTTCATGATCATTACTTCCTCCTGAGTTCAAGAACTTCTAATAATTTCCTCCCGATAGTTTTTTTCCTCATTTAATTCATTCTGGATTTTGCTCTCAGAGTTGTTTTTTCTAAATGGCTCCTTTTGCCTGAAGCATAAAAGCTAACCTCCTTTGACTGATAGCGATCTTTATGATCTGTGCCTGCCTGACTTCAAACTTGTTCTCTTGACACTCCACCATGTACAGAATTATTTGGTAATGCTCAACCATACCATATTCTCTCATGCCTCTGTGCCTTTGCGTATGTATTCTCCCATTCACATAATGGTCATCCCCTCTTTGTCGACTTTGTCTTTTAAATCCACGCCCAACCATTATCTCCTTTGTGAAACTTTCTTCAACTCCCACATGCCAGATTTAAATTGTTCGTCTTCCAGCTCCCATTAGTATGTACTTGCACCGAAGAGAGTACAGAAAGTTGCTCTGTAATCGACAGCCATGCTACATTGTAGTTGTTGTTGTTGTTAGGTGCCATT